TCCCTTTAGCAAACAAATATAGCTAGCAACATTTTCTTGAATATGAAAACTTCCATCTTCGGTTTTCATGTTTTTGGTATTCTTGATATACTCCTAAATATGAAAACACATCTAAATTCCTAGTACACATTTCAAGTTTGAACCTTTGCATATATCTACCAAAAAAACGTTTACAGAAATTGCCGTCAGAAAATGGGCTTATGCGCTACATACTACTATGAGCACTACCACAAATTTGATTTGGTTGGCTGAATTAAAAAAACATCGACTAAATTCCCACGAATTTTGACTTGCAAGTTAAGATTCTTGTTGAAGCTTTTTAGACGTATTGATGGATTAACTGAATTTATTTTAGTCCCAAGACTTTCAAAGTTAGACTACGTATTTAACTTATAGAGGCTTGGATGTCTTTTTAATATTTACATGCCCTTTAGTAAAAAAATACCTAAATTAAAATAGATCCATAAATGAGAGATTAATGAACATCCAATAAAAGAAAAAAACGAAGACTTAGAGCATCCACATTCATAATTTTAAAACAATCTGATTATTTGTGACTCTTACCTTTTAAAATTTTCCACATAAATGTTTTGGAAATAATCTCATCCCCTCCGAATTACCTTCAACCATCATCCCGAAATAATCTGATCTTTTGTGGGTCCTGTAGCAACTAAGTAATTCTAATTTCATAGATAATCTCAAAATAATCCAGTTTCATATTTTGATCTCGGATTATTCTATCAATTAATTATGTCCAATAATCTCTCTTACTCAACCATGCTCTCCCAAATAATCTGCCATGTCACTAGAATAATCTCTTAATAATCTTATGGATGGTGATGCCCTTACAGAGATGCGAGGAAGACGAAGAGATGAAAACAGGGGATGTGTGAGCCTGTGCTATCGAATCTGCCTCTGAGCCTCTAGGAGTAAAGAGGGAAAGAGAGAAGTGGCCGGTCTCTGCAAGACTGCAACTAAAGATGGGCTTGTGGGTGAGTGGGTCTGGGCCATGCGGGCATTACTAACGGAAGCAGTTCGGGGAATAATAACGGAGATAACGGGCGGTATATCGAAGGGGAGATAAAAGCCCCGCAGCTTCTAAATTTTACAAACTTTTAAGCATATGGTACATGTCAACACAACTCACAGGACCACCAACAAAATATTTATACCCAAAATAGTCTAACCCTCATTCAGCCTTATTAGATTGTAGAGATGTTTCGTTAGTAATTCACCCGCGTGATGTAGAGATAATTTTGCCGTAGAATTATTCCATTTCCAAAGGTTTATACGGAGTTACAGAGTGTGTATTATACTATTATTTGAAGATAAATTATTTATAATGGCTAAGTATTAGAGTGACTACAATTAAATTTATATGTATTGCATTTTTAGATAAATTGACAGTGTTAACATGTCAAATAGGGGGTGCAAAAATGTGAAAGTGATTTATGTCATTCTCAAACTATACAAATTTCTGAGAAAATGTTCAAATAGGTATGATAGATAGTCTATACCGGGATAACGCTAGTGGTATCTTTAGAGAAGTCGGAACAATAAGTAAGAGGGAGAAAGTGTGGTAGCAATAAATATTAAGTGGTATGCCACAATTGGCCAAGGGGCGCTATTTATACTAGTCATAAATGTTAGGTGCACTAAATGCACGTATACGTGTAAGCTAGTCTATGGAAGAGAGCCCCCGATTGTGTGGGTGCTGACATGTGACACCACATTAAATGCGGTGGTTGCCGGTTGGACACTAGGCAGAGTGGAACTTATGTCGAGAGTGGGGGCCTTCGGTACTGAGACTGAAGGCTATATGACTGAAGGTTGATGTGATGAGGTAAAATGTCCAGGTGTGTTGCCTGACCAGAATGGAGTGGCGTCCCTAAGTTTGAGGCCTTTGACCATGATGCCGAAGGCATTCCTTTGTGGAATGCAGGTTGCACTGTGCTTGGGCTGCTGTATTTGGGCCGCCTCGGGTTATTGGGCCTGTTTGAGGTAGCAAGAGTATGTGGGATGGAGGTTCTCGAGCCATATACTCCATCGAGGTACTTCTACTGTTTCAAAACAATAATAGTAATAATAAAAATATTAATAACTTAGTCTTTTTCAATAATTTATTTAACAGACTTTCTGATTGACGTTTGAACTAAAATTTTGTGAACATAAACTACACTTTACGAAGAACATGATCACAAAATTTCATAAAAAACTTTCATACCCACATCAAATGACGGCAGTCGAACTGTAGTTACGATCAGAAAGTCCCGAGGATAACTTTTCTGCTATATACACACACGTATATGTCAATGAACTAGTAGTCTAGTAGAACTTTTGATTTGGTTAACTACGGTGGTTCTAAACACCAGGATTTAAAGATGTACATTGACTCTTCGTATAACTAAAAGCAATAAACATCAATCTTTTGGATTTCCCAAGCATATCAAATACGAAGTACGTAGTATATTACATCCACCCTTTGGATTTCCCAAGCATATTAAATGTTCATTATTTGAACTTATCCCAAGTCCCAACCCATATATAACTAGGGTCATGCCTCCTTTCACGGTCTGATTGGGTGCAGAAGTTGCGTATATGATGACTGGTGACACAAAACAGACTGACAAGCATAAGGGCAAGAAACATGAGGAAGTTAGAGGCTATATTGATCCTAGGACTGAAGCTCCTACTCCTCAATTTACTCCTTCAGGAGTTCCTGACTCACTTAGAGAGCTGATGGCTCTACCCATGCCCCTAAAGTTTCATATGAGTACTTCCAGACTAACCATCAAGAGCTATTCATCTGATATCCCAAACTTGAGGGCTTGTATGGCTGATAATGATCTTGATGAGACAAATCTCAGGGATGTTGCATTTGCTTCTACCCTAGTGGCTCTAGTGTCATATGGTGTTATTCCCATTAACAATGAGGCAGCTGTTACTGTCCCTAATGAAGCTGCTCCAGCTACATCCCTAGCAACTGAAATCAACTATAATAGATGGAAGGCTGCATCAAAGCTAGTGGTAATAACATCTATCTGTATTCTTTCTTCTGGGAGCAGTACTGATGATAAGCGTTGGTATGAATCCTACAGAGCAGTATTCTGAGGTTTCCTAAGTGAGAAAAGGTTTGGAGAGATCTGCAATATGATCATCCATTCTCCATATATTGAAGGCCTTTTTGAGGTATACACATTGGGTGACATTGAATCTGCTATTGATGTTTTTAAGTATAGGGTAACATGGTTCTCTTCACCTGGTCTAGTGAAGAAGGCCTTAAAAGCTGTAGCTGAAACTCCACTCCTTGGATACTTCAAGCCTCACGCAGTTGACCTATACCGACGATTTGATCAAGCTGGAGTTGCAGCACAAATTGCTTCTGGTCCTTTGAAGGTTTTCTGCAAGGGGAATATTGACCCATTGAAGCAGCAGGATATCCCAAAGAACACCCCTCTAAGAGAACTTTCCCCCATAAATGCTCCATATGATGAAGAACTCCTACGTCAAGTCAAGATTATCCTCGAAGTTTTTGAAATTGATCATGGAAACTGGTACCAGGGGAAGCGTGCTGCACGTACCCAGTTTTTTAAGGACACCATCTTCAGGCTACATGCAACTCAGCTCCGAGCTGCTCAGCGCGATCCTATTAACCAGTTTGTGCAGGATTCTGCTGGCAAGATTATTCATGAGCATGCTGCACAAACCCAGGATCATATGGAGACCCTTTCTAAGCTCCCAGTTTCTCAGCGTGAAGTTGTTGACCAGTTTGTCAAGGATTTTGCTGCCAAAAATGTTCTTGAGCGTGGATACAGTCCTGAAGCAAGAGCTAAGGCAGAAGCTCTTGTCAGCCGTTGGAATTTGAGAGCGGCTTAAGTTTTATGTTGTCTATTAAGTCTCATCTTTAAGTGGCCAGTTGATAAGTTTGGTTTGCTGATAATTCCATAACAAGTATATTTAGTTCTTGCCTCTTGGTCACTGGATACTTGACAATGTTTGGTATGGTATGGTCCCTCCACAATTATATTATAATGCAATAATGCATGGTTCATATTTTCTCATTTCATCCGATCCAAATTATATATGTGCACACACACATAAGTTTATATTGTCATCGATAAAATGTCTTTTCACTCTCTCTATATATATATTTATTTATAGTGGAAATTGGATTTTGTTAAATTTATTAAAGAGATACAAATGTTAAAGAAGGAAAAAAAATTAGAGAATAACTAACCTATTGAGAGATAAATAAAGCTAATAAGAGATACTCCCTCCGTCCCCTTTTAAATGGGACGGGAGATGGTGGCACGGGTTTTAAGAAAAGTGAGTTTGTGTGGTTGATATTAATTGATAAAGTAAGAATAAAGTAAGAATGATTTTGAGCCACACAAAGTTTACCAAATAAGGTATGAGACAATTAAATAGGGACATCCCAATATGGTAAAACGGAACATTTAAAAGGGGACGGAGGGAGTACAAATCATGTGTTGAATACTTGAATACTAGTAGCCAGGGACGGACTCAGGAAATTCATATTTGGGGGTTCAAACTTCAAAATATTATTTCCGTACGAAAATTATTGTTTGAGGGGGCGAAAATTATTTTTCGTATATATATACACTAAAAATATTTGTTGTTGGAGGGGTGATAACCCCTCGGGTCTGTACTACGGTCCGCCCTTACTAGTAGCAATAAATGAGTAAAAAAGTTATGTAATTCCGAAATACGAGCACTGTGTTTTTATTCCCTTGGTAGTGAGCAGTAGTGCTTCACTGCCATGCTTGATTACAGTATAGTATCACATTTCTGTATACTCAAGGGCTTCGTTCAGGATTTACTCAGAGTGGTGTAGATTACACTGACTTTTGCACTTCCTTAAATGCATAATTAGATTAGAGATAGTATACAAAAACAAAATAGGAAATGTCCCAGGACCGGCACATCAGGCCTAAGCCAATTAAAAAAAGGTCAGAAGTTTCTACTTTTTATGCTAATAACCAAAATGACCAAAGTAAGCAGCATATTGTGGCTACCAGAGGACCAGTTACACGAACAAGTATTCATGCTTAAATCTTATTGTTTCTTAAAGTTTGGAACTACGAGTATAAAACAACACATGCCTTCGCAGGTACTATTATTTGTAAAACAATAAATTAGGACTACATTCCTTTAATACACTTTGTTTGACATGTTTTCATCTCCCATCATATACCTTCCACACAGATGTAGGCACACAATGTACTAATAACATGTTTTTCTAGCCCTACTCTTTCTAAAAAGAAAGTGCATTTCTCAAGAGGTAGAGATGTGTATAACATGGTCAATGTATAAAAAAAAAGTGCTTTGTTTCTTCACGGAGATCACATCACTTCTCTAAGTCTCAATCTCAGAGCAAAATCAACTTGCATGCCTGTTTATTTGCAGTTGAATAGACCAACACTAGTACAGCTTGCATCTCCCTGTTCCAATACAGGCAGCACATTCATCTGCTTCTCCTGCTACACGGCTTAAGCAGTGTTTAATCCTGTCATTCATGACATCCTGCACCGTAATAACCACATTCCAAAGCTAACTGGGTTAGACTGAACCCATGTTTAATTTATAAGAAGGATTATCATAAAATAAAAGTAACATAAAATGAATATGAAAGTGGAAGAAGCAATCGTGTTGTAAGATAGCATAAAAAAGGAAGAAACAGAAGGAATGATCACTGTAATATGTAATTAATTAAAAATGGTCCATATTGAACCCAGAATATAATTCACAAAGATGACAGGGGAAACATAGAGGAAAAATTGGAAGGAAAGAACGTGCAATGTAAGAGGTGGGCATAAGGATATGCCATATTTGCAAATATTCATTTTGATATTCAACATATAACCAAACATTTATGACGTGTGGGGGGGTAAAACCAAACATATAATAATAATGAAATAAGTTCCATTAACGTTTCTTCAGTTTGATATTCATTTGATTTATTTATTATTCATTTAAATTTGTATTTGCAAATAAATAATAATAAAACTTAGAGATGAATTTCTGAAAATGGGATATGAGGATGTTTAGTAGAAGTAAATATGGTAACAACACAGGTGCTTCCTCTTTCCATACCACAAGTAGTTCATGCAACCCAAGAGGTGCAGTTATAATGTATGACACGTTCTGGTGCTCCTTAGCAGCTTCAGCAGTCAAATGAGGAATATCCTGTCAATTAACGTGTGAAAAAACATTCTTTAGCCTCCAAAAAGGGAGTTGCAGGAGGACCGATTAAAGCTAGAAGAACATTTACCTGATGCCAATGCCTTCCAGGAAAGAGAAAGAATGGGCATACAATCACCCGGTCTGCCCCCTTTTGAACACACACACTGAATGCATCTTTTATAGAGGGTTCTGCCAGCTCCTGGATATTTTAAAACATTGAAAACAAACACTGGATATGTGTACATGGTTTCAATTAATGTGGCTAGTCTTTAGTTCCAGCAAGATTCCTTGGATTGTATTAATTCCAAGGTATTCTAAAATGGATGTCCATAACATTTCCACATAAGTTGTAATAAAGTCTTCACTAGAACGCACTACCCCACTAGTGAAGACTTTAACAATTGTAGATCAATCAATTGACACAAAGATTCATAAAAATTAGAATGAATTGAAACAAATGTTCTCAACAATCTACGGTTCCTAGTTAGATGGGATTCCGTATTATTTCAAGAGAGAAAAAGAAAGTAGCCAAGCATGAATGTCTTTTAACGTTTAAATACCTCCAACATCATATCAGAGCCTATAAGTCACATTACTCTCAACCTTAAACCTAAGCAATGGTGAGGCCATCAGGGAACTTATCTATGGGAGAAATGAAAATATATTTGTTGATTCTTTGACAAAGTTATAAAAATGTATTCACTGGACAAATAAATGTTAAACTAGAAACCCAAGACGGGAAAGAAAAGAGAAGAAAAAACATACCATATGAGCAGGCTCAACAATTGAATAACCAGTTTTATCTCTAAACAAATTAACAAACTCATCTGCAATTCATTAATTTGACAACAGCAAGTATCAGATTCCACGGTAACTTTCAAACCAAACCAAACCAACAAAGCACCTTCAAAAGTAAAGAAAAACTAAAGACAATCGATATAACAAGTGGAGGGCTTACTTAGCATGAGGTTTGATTCCATGCGACGAGACCCATGATCCACAATGATCAGTCCATCTTTGTCTCCAACAACACGATGCGTGTTCATTATGATTCCACTATTTGCAGTGCTGAAACACGGCTCTAAAGAACATAAATACTTGGTTTTCAGGGGACTTGTACCCAATTTTGAGAAATTGGGATGCATTCTTTTACAATTTACTCTTGTTCCGCTTGTTGGACAAATGTATGCCCCCACTTTAGGGCATGTTCTCTTCGTCTGAAAAATGTGGCTTGATCTGAATTTCTTAAGATATATCTGGTCTAGTACTCTAGTCTGAATGTTTATGGTTTGATCTCAAATTTCCAGATCTTGTTTAAATTTCTTATCTAATAAGTAGTATATTACATTAAGGCTGGTCTGGTCTGATTAAAATAAGTGGTAAGTCCATAAAAAAGAGTTGAAGTAAACATCACCTTAACAGAGAAAGTTGAAGAGGGGAGAGAAACAGAAAACAAGTTCAACGGCATGCTCTTCTTAAGAGCAATGCAGTGTATGCAACGTTCTGTGTTGTAATTTGTGAAGCTATGATGGCTTCAGATCCGCTGTCCCAATCTCCCTATTCTGGTATCTTGTCCAAACGAACAAAAACATGCACATTATCATAATTTGAAAACTCATCTATAAGTTATTTGCATGTAAGCAAAATTGGGGAACATATACCTAGGGGTGGGATCGGGATGATCCCGATCTCGATTGCCCAAATCCCAATCCCGTCCCGATCCCGATTCAAACTACAAGAGGATCCCGTATCCCGTCCCGATTAAGTCGGGATCCCGACATTAAAATCCCGATTAAGTCGGGATCCCGATCGGGAATCCCACTTAATCCCGCTAAATCCCGACAATGAAGTATCAAACATAAAATTATGTAATTTCTTTAGTTAAACACTAACTTTGATATTCAGCGGTTTCAAAATTATTCTTTGTTCATTGTTATACCATATTTATCATCATCTACTTATAAAGTTTATTGTAATAATTATCCTCTCAAATTCACACCAGTACATACTTTTAGAATAATTTTTATTTGTAACTTCAATTAATTAATAGTATAATTTTTTAATAAGCTATCAAGGCTTAGTGAAACTTACTTCAAACATTTTATAAAAATCACTAAAAGAATGATGTGTAACGTATATTATTTAAAATTCAAAACTAAGTAGACTCATTGAGAAACTTTGTGACCAATGAATATAATGTATAAATACATATTATGATTATTTACTAAAGAAAGAAATCTTAGTCTCGATCATAATTTTTTAAAGAGTTCATCAGAACCGCAAAATTTGTATTATTGTTGTGATTTAGATTGTCGGGATCAAGAATAATCTCTATTTAGTTAGGATCCCAGATATTCATTTTCGGACAAATGCCGAATAGTTTTAGAAGTTTGATATTGTAAGATACTCGTAGTAAAAGATTAATCTATGTAAGGAATAAGTAATTAAAAAAGATATGCAAATATTTAGATACATATTCATTTTTTTTTATAAATGTATATTCATTTTTTATATATTCATATATAATTATATACATGTGTGTATATATATATATAATGTTGGGATGTCGGGATTTTCCCGATCCCGACCTTTTTTTAAAAAAATCCCGGTCCCATCCCGACTTAGTCGGGATCGGGAAAAATTCCGGACTAGTCGGGATCGGGATTGTCGGGATCGGGAGTCTTTTCCCAGCCCTACATATACCATCTCCATAACTCCATAAGGTCCTAGGCTGGCGTTAAGGAAACAAAGAACCAAGTAGATTGAGCGAATTGCCAATTGGACAAATTACTGAGACACTATGATACACTACAATCCATCTATATCTAGTAATTCAGTTTGATTTGCCCATTTTCCCATCAAAACTGAGTAAATTATGTAACAAAGATAAAAGTACTCTCTCGGTGAAAAAGCAGGGATGTCTGAATTTTTGTAATTTAGTGTAGTTTCAAATAAGGTCCTGTTCAAAATTAAAAAGGACTTGCTAAAGTATAAAAATATTATATTAAAAAATTAATATAAAAAGTCGTTTTATCAAAAGTAAAACATGATAGTATACAATTCAACTCAACAATAATCAACCAAAACTATTAACAGTAAAAGGATTATAAAAAATTGCTAAAATATCATTATCATAAATATAACCACCAATATCACCACTATTATCAATTAAGCATTAATATTTGCATCAACATTATAATCAATGTCAATGATAATACTAAAAATTAATAATAGCATCATTCACACCATCATTAGCACATATATGTTCATTTTCCAAAACAAATTGTGATTCTTTTGTAACAAATTTAGGTTTTTAATTAATATCCAGAGTAATATTTTAAAATTCTAAGAGACAAAATAAAAAGGAAGCATCAAAAGATAACAATAATGAAATAAAGGAAACAAAAACCTGAAGAGAAGCTTTGCGCGAGGGCTGACTGCGTGCTCTGGGTTGACTGTATCTGGCTTTAGAAGGACTGAAGAAGCTCAGTCTGAGTCCTTCAATCTTTCAGAAATCAAATAAGCGTTTTTTTTTTAAGAAACGAAGGAAATAAGCGTTGACAATGCTATGCCTACAAAATCCAATGACCAAATATGTGTAATCAACACTCGCCTTATATCCAAATTAGGGGGTGTTTGGATCTGATTCTCAAAACTGATTCTGCTCCTTCAGGGAGCAGAAGCAGAAGCTAGAGTGTTTGGGTGAAATTCCAGAAGCACTTCTGGAGCTCTAATTTACTCTCAGAATCAGTTTTTTAGAAGCTGGGGGGTACCAGCTTCTGAAAACTGATTCTGATTCTGCTTCTGCTTTTAAAAAAGAAGCAGAAACAGAATCAGTTCCAAACACCCCCTTACTGAAATGTGAAATTGGTGAATCAGAAGAAAGTAACAAGCGTAGATAACTTGATATTGAAGCCTGATAAGCAAGAAGCTTTGCGCCTGTGGCGGAGTCTGGCCTCTGTAGGAGCAGAATTTAAACAAGGCGGAGCAGAATTTGGAATTTTCTGTAGGAGGAATTGCCTAAATTTAATTGGGTTGGAATTCTGATTTTTTTTAAACAAGACTATACCATACAATTCAAGTACACATATAATGGGGCTGAGCAAAATCCGATCCGATCCGAAAACCCCGATATTTTTTTCGAATATTATCCGATCCGATCCGAAAACCCCGATATTTTTTTCGAATATTATCCGAACCGAAATGGATATTCGACCCGAATAACTCGAAACCGAAAATCCGATTAATATTGGGCCTAGACCGGGTGGTGGGTAGGGTTTGTAAAATCCCAACCCGACCTGCCCGAAATTAGACCTGCACAAAATCGGCCCGGCCCGGCCAGCCCGCCCGGCCCCGCCCATATAAATGGGCGGGTTTGGACACACAGTTTAGCCCACTGGCCCGGCCCGGCCCGGGCCCGTTTAAATTATGGGCGGGCTTGGATTCTAATATAGGCCTGGTGGGCCTAAAAGCCCGGCCCGTTAAATGTGTGTGTATATATATACTGTATATATTATATAATTATATATATAAATTATTTTATATATATACACAAAAAATTACTATCATTAAGGAAGGCCAACATGAAACCTTAGCCAAGCTACTGCTATTAGATCGGACCAATAAAGTAGTACTCCGTATTAGTTAAAACTTGAACTATTTTGTATTGGACACCTATCAAGTCTTTTGAGATACTTTTATGCTTTGACTATTCTCATTGCACATTCTGATTGTACTTTTAATTTTTGTTTGCACAGTGATTAAATTTTTAAATACTGATGTTAGTTCTAAATATGAATGGTTTTTATTTTTCAGAATCGTGTGTGTATTTCATAAAAGTATTTTACAAACGTTTACGCTTTTAAAAGTATTTTAGAAAGAGGATAATTTTTCCGGGCCCGGAAGCCCGGTGGGCAGCCCGACCCGCTCTTTTGGGCGGGTTTGGACATATAAGGAGGCCCGTTGTACCGGGCCGGGCCCGCCCACTACAAATGGGCAGATTTTTTAGAATAAGCCCGGCCCGGCCCCGGCCCGAACCCGCGTTTGTGCAGGTCTAGCCCGAATATCCGAAATATATGTTAGTGTGTACTTTGAAGGGGTTAGGTCTCCAATATTACTAAAAATTAACAAATGGACAAAAAAGTGAATTTTTTTTTAAAAAATCCAGAAATGTGATTAAAAAAGGTTGAACAGACTACTTTGTCCTTACCAAAGCCCAGCAGACCCGCTGCAGTGACTAATATGTTACAGTGACCAATTGACCAATACATTACAGTGACCTATGTCACAGTGACTATATTCCCAGTGACCGATGATACAATTACTATATACCCCAGTTACTAATGACATAGTTACCAACACTTAGTGACCCAGCTCTACTGACATCCCGACTACCGTGACATCCGACTCCAAACCACCCCGATCTCAGTGACCAAATTGACAGTTACCAATGCTCAATGACAATCGCCTCATTAATCACCCGAATTCTAGTAACCACCCGACTTTAGTGTCCACTCGCCTGCCAGTGACCAATTGATGTCTGCCGTCTAAGAGCATTTCCGCCCCATCCAAGGCCTGCCGGTCTGCCCATACCCCGCCCCACCAGTCAACCCCTTCACAACCAACCCACCCCAACTCTGCCCATGTCACACTACACTAGCCGACATTGCTCCACCACCATCGGAAACCACCACCAGAACCCCGCCAACTAACTGCCAACACTGCCCTACGACGTACACTGGCCAGTGACCACCGCGGTACCCAACCAGTGCCTCTGCCGACCACCACCGCCCACCCTGACCTGACTCCCCAGCCCTCTCCGGCACCACCCTCCTCCACAGCCATGCCCCGCCAGCTCTGTCGCCTACCCCACCAGCCCACCCCTAGGCTCCAGTGACAGATCCGCCACCACTTGCACCGGCCAGATCCGCCGCCAGTTGAACCAGTCAGACCTGTGAAGCCTAGCCGCGCGCCATGAATAGATCCAACATCGTCGATTCGTCGTTGCCTCGCTAAAACAGCCACCGTCTGCCACGTAGCCACCAAACCCTAGTGCGGTCTGATTTCCATCTCAATGATCCCTCGCCACGAAATCAGCAATCGATTCGAGAAGAAGAGAAAAATGGAGAAGATGAACCTGGAGGACGGCGACGATGCTCCTGGACAACGACGACGATGGAGGTGCTCCGACAATGGAGGTACTCTGGCGGAGGAGCAACTAATAGATGGCAGAAATTCGTCGGAGATCGCAGAGCTTCAAAGGAGATGGCAGATATTCGACAGAGATGGCAGAGCTTCAACCGTCGTCACTGATGCGGTGATGGATGCGGCGGACATGGATGCTCACAGTGCAGGTGAGGGAGACGAGCGGATTTGCGATAGGGCAAATGATTTGCCGCATATGAGAGAATTATGTGAGGGGTGTTTCTGTCCACTGAATTATTATTGGTCTTACTTTTGTCCAGATTTAAAATGGCCCTTACTTTCGTCTTTTAAGTGTGTGGTAGTATTAGTCCGGTCATTATTTCTACTTTGAATATGTTAAATTAATACTTGTGTTCAACTATTTGTGTAATTATTTGTGAAATTTGTATTAAATTATTTGTGTAAATTGAATATGTAGTGCACTAGTGTGTACAATTTTTGTCAAAGTGTCATTCCAACACTTTAATTATCCAATTATAATGTGTTTTAATATTACCGAAATATCCGAAATATATTAAATTATGTAGTGTGTACTTTGAATATGTTAAATTAATACTTGTGTTCAATTATTTGTGTAATTATTTGTGCAATTTGTGTTAAATTATTTGTGTAATTTGGATGTTTAGTGCACTAGTGTGTACAATTTTTGTCAAAGTGGCATTTAAACACTTTAATTATCTAATTATATTTCTTTTTTAATATAACCGAAATATCTGAAACCCGATCCGATATCCGATAATATCCGACTTAAAAATATCCGAAATACCCGATTTGAAATATCAAAGGGTCGGACCTAGTATTTAAATTTAAAAAACCCGAACGGGTTTAGGGTTTGCAAACCCGACCCACCCAAACCTAAATAATACGGAGTACCAACATCCTTAATTGACATGAGACTCGAACTTGTGACCTCTTTCGGAGATCAATAGTGATGTCTTCAGACCACAAGGTACTTGACATTTCGAGCATATATTTATTTCTAGACTAGCAAAACATACTCAGTAATTCATAATAATCTAATTAAATTCTGTGAGACATCTATTTTCCGCATGTCCCACAAAAGGCTATTGATGATTTGATTCCATAAGCCAACTGATTCGGCTGCCCCAAACATATTTTACAATCTCTCTGCAATATTCTTCAAGCGACAAGCAAGCAGACAATTTTCTTCCTCCCTTATTCTAGAGGGATGGCACCCCATCCCTGAGAGCCCCAGCATCGGCTGGACTCCCCCCTTCCTCCCTCATTCTAGGGATGGCACCCCATCGCTGAATAATACGGGGTATTAGGTAATCACTGGAAAGTCCTGCTAATGAGTATTCTGCTATAACTAAAAGAAACTTAACCCATCCTGATTTACTAGAATGCATTGAAGTTTTTCTTCCACCCAAGTCTCCATCCCTTGTCCTCTTTCTCATGTCCACTTAGAGCCTTCAAACTGGAGTAAATGAAATGTCCTTCTAACGAGTAGCCCTACGCTGAGTCAAAGAGATTTAACCAATCCTCATTTAACAGTGAATGAATAGATAAATACTTTTAATAAATGCTGGTGAACCCCTCATGGTCTCAAATAGAGTTATGAGAAGATATTGCCTCACAGAGGAGCGGGAAACTTGTGTACAAGGGGGTATATACAAGGCTAGTTGGTCATCTTATTTACTTATCCTACACAGGATGTGATATTGGTTTCTCTGTAGGTATGATAGATATTCAATACATGAACAATCCATCTGAGGAACACATGGAAGCTGTTACATCATGAATCCGTAGATATCTCAAAACTACTCCAGGAAAAGGGATATATTTTAGGAGGGTTAACAACGAAATCAGAGTTTATACAGTTGCAGACAGGGCAGAAGATGGTAACAGATTGGAGTACTTTTGTATTTGGATAATTTAGTAACATGAAGAAGCAAGAAATAATAAATTGTTTCTAGATGCTCAGCTGTAGTGGAATTTTGAGCTCTAGCTCATGGCATATGTGAAGAGATTTGGCTAAAAGGTTACTTGGTGAATAAAGAGTATTCACAGCAAAGCCTATATATTGCAAAAAAAAATCTGTTCATCACAACAAGATTAAGCATATTGACACAGACTAAGAAAATTCAGAACTCCATTTTCCAAGCTGTTTATTCTCCACCAAGATTTAAACTGCTGACATTCTCGTGAAAGCTCTCTCAAGAACCACTTTTGAAGAACTAGTGTGCAAGTTTGGGATGTTTGATATTCACAACCCAGCTAGAGGGGGAGTGTGAAGTTGTTCCCTGACTTAAGAAACTGGCTACAACTGCATATCAGATCTGATTTGGTATCAAACTATCAATACACAAATATAATGTATTTTATTTCTTTTTTAGAATTAGCTGATTGCATGTTTAATGTCTTAGATTTCTATTATTTGGGTTGTATAAATATTTCTTCATTTTGAATACAAAAATATTCAGTCTCAAATTTAAAACCTATCTATTAAGGTTTATGAATTTATCTATGGGGTTTTTATGGGTAATTTTGTGGATACGTTAACAAAGTTCGCACTCAATTGAATGAAAAAGTTCTCACCCGACAAAATAAACATAACCACAAGCGGACAGCTATTTGAAGAGCACGCATAAGCAACTCACAAAAGTACAAACCAACAAAGTACATGTAAATATCTACAAAATAATAAAGTGAATAACAACATACTTGCCGGTTCACAAAATCTCAGTACAAGCATAGATAGTAGCAATATATAGCAGGAGAAAGAAAAAGAGCTTCAAACAGTGCAATAATCTTGCAAAAGCTGCCTAGCAAGGTCAAATGCCCCACTAGCCTTATAAATCAGGTGAAGGTTGTAGGCAGCTTCCCTATGAAGGCTGCAATAACCACCGGGTTTTTCAATTCGGTGTGCATACTGACATTCATCATAGGGAAACCTCGGGATTGGGCAATCCTTCTGTGGAGTCGATAGCACCTTTTCATAGTACGAAGCTGCGATAGTCACAAGCCCCACATGCTGATATGCCCGTGCTATGTTGTATAGGGCTTCTTGGCGGCAATCATTCTTCTTCCCACACAGCCTCAAATTGTTGTACAAAAAAGCCAGCCCTTGCAACACACATTCATGCTTATTCTTCAGTCTAACATCAAATGCTAAGTTAATCAGAGCAGTTCCTACGCAAAGATTAATTATAGGGCAATCAGGCTGAAGTTTGTAAGCTTCCAGGTACTCCCTAGCTGCTACTTGATACTGACTGATCTCGCCAAACTGATGCCCTGCGATAACAATAGGAGGGACACAATCTTTCTGTTGATTGCGTACATGTTGTAGAAACTTGTTGTTTTTTGAGATAGTGCTGTCTGCTTTCGACAGTGCTTTGTAGTAGTAACTCCATAACGCCATTTTATATGGATGTTGAAGAAGGATAGGCTTTAGAAACTTGCATCCACGTTTTGTGTCTTGGACTTTACATGCCAATTGGACACCGACGTTCGTAATACTATCTCTCCTTTCATCTGACAAGATGTCTGAAGCAAAACTAAGTGTAAGTTTGCAAACATCAAATGCCTCTTCGTATCTTCCTAGAGATGCCAGAGCTCTGGTCAAGTCCACAAAGAGTTGATGATTCTCTGCATCTTGTAGGAGTTTGGGCGTCAGAGGTTTCTTCTTGTGCAGAGATACCCGAGATTCTGAGTCTGAATCTGAATCTTCACTCTTCACATCTATACCAGCGGCTAAAGATTTTCTTTTCATTTCATCTTTCAATGAACATCTTTTTAAAAGGACCCTCTTTGCTCTGGAGGCCTTTCTTCTATCATCTACGTTAGCCACAGGTTTAAATCCCTGGACTAGATTGTCAGTTTGATCGTCATCTAAAACTTTGGCTCTTTCTAGAAGCACTCTTTTTGGGAGCTTTTTTTTCTTAGCTGCCACCTTTGAAGCTTCAGAGGTAAAAGACCGATAAACCAAGGGATAGAATGTATCTATAAATTCTTGAAACATATCTTTAGCTCGGTAGATCCTGGCAAGCTTAAGTTGCACTTCCATGTCATTCCACCATTCTTCATCACGGGTACTATTGTTATTAAAGATGGTTCTCAATCCAAAGTCTGAATTTGGGGGAGAAAGAAGAAGTATTGCTTCTTCGTCTCTCCCTCTCTCAAGAAGAAGCGAAGCTAAGGTCAGCCGAGTCTTGACACTGTTCTCAAGCAAAGGAAGAGCTTTGTAGAAGCATCCAATTGCTTCATCCCACTTTTCCAAAGATAAGTAACATTCTGCTATTTTCAAATTTAGATTTCCACTAGTTGATCCCAATCCCCTTTCCAACATCAAGTAGTAATGCAAAGCAGATTGATGGTGATCAAGCTTCTTAAACGTGTCTGCGATTTCAATGATTGATTCGGTAAAACCATTCATGTTCTCAATATGTAGTTTCTCGAAAAGGGATTTTGCATTATCTACATCTCCAAGATGAAGGTAGCAAATTCCTGCCTTAGCCATTATTAGATCATTAAATGAAGATTCTCTTCTGGGACAATCTTCTATTCTTTTAATAAGTTGAAGAGCTTTACAATACTTGCCATTCTCAATGTATATGCTAGTTAGCATCAAAATGACTCTGGGATCGCCATCAGTTGGGAAGTGGCTGAGATAACTCTCAAGAGCAACCAGGGAGGATTCGACCTTACCACATTGCTTATACAGCTCAGCTGCTGCCATGCAGACTTCAGAATCATCAGGACGGAGGTGATGTATCTGTTGATATAGCTTAGCAGCTTTCTCATACTCCTTAAGTTCAGTATAATGTGACGCGCCGAGGAATTTAAGCATGATGTCTTCAGGGTCAGCAGCAATGGCTTTGGGAAGGTAGTAATTAACAGCCGCAGTTTTCCCTTGATCTATAAACCAAGAAAGAAGCGACTTCCAGAGAGGTGTGTCCTTTGGCCTATTTACACTTAGTGTTGCAAGCATGTAATAACAGATAGCTCTTTTCTTATCACCCTTTGCGTTGTGAACGAGGCCGAGTGTATGGTAAGCATCGTGTGTTGGGTTACGCCTGATACACTCACTGAGCAGTTGTATAGCCCTTTCGTAATCCCCAGTTGCATAGCACAGTGTGCCCTCGCCTAACAATTTTGTGGTCTCGGGGTCCATGTTTCTTCTAGAACCCTTACGCCTTCCTTTTCTCTTTTTCTTCCTCGATTTCCTCTTGCTACCGTAATTCATGGCTTCCATGATTTCATCCATACTAGCACCTAGAAACTCTGCCCCCTTCTGTTTTTTCAAAGGCCCTTTGTTGTCTTCATGAGACACAATGGCTTTTCTCTTTTTCTCAGCTAGTTCTTCGTAATTAGCATCATCGACTAAGAAACTAAAAGGCATTATCTCCTCTTCTGACTCCTCTTCTCCACTCTTTCCGCTAGACACTTCATCAGACTCATCATTTGATTCTGTTGCCCCTTCACGAGCATCTAAATCCAATCTTTTTTCAGAACCTGCAATCAACTCAAGCTTCCCTTCATCATGAGAAAGCCCAACTTCATTTGTTTCTTCTCCCATTGCGTGCCTGCCTTTAATCTACAATGTGAGAATATGCACTTCAACCCCAACTCTAAATAAAGTTTCTCCTGCAAATTACAGAAAGATGGATTATATTCAAGACAGTTCGTTGTGCAAGAGTGCAATTAAATATCTAAAACAATCTGATCATTAAAAATAAAAAGATCATATCAGGCATTCTAATCATCAACAAGAGTGTCCATAAATAAGGAACTATAACACTATAGCACCTAGTTACCTACACTAGTTATACTTTTCCAACTACTCAAAAAGAACATACAGAAAACATTTTAGAAAATACGCAAAAACACCCTAACAAAAAAAATTAATGTTCTGATCATTTGTAAATTGACTAGCTAGGGTAAGAGTACATGGTATATGATGTTTTTTGAAAAGGTATATTATTTTTATGATCAGCGCCCACAATACATCATGAATCCAAGATAGAGCAACAAGAATAGTCTCACTAAAATAATGCATCTAAACTAATAAACCAGAAAAACAAAGTCCAACTCGCACAGCCTATGATTTCTATGCCCAAACTAATATAGGCTCTGCAACTAATAGTATAATTACACTCAGTATAAATTAGATGAAATTTTGGCAACAGTTTCCTAAACATGTGACACATCTCAACACAAATAATTGCTTTTGAACCTCTACTTCAAGCATATTATATCCGGCACGTGCAAATCACAAAACTCAATCCTAATGCACAGACAATACTCTTTTCTATATATTTCAGTCATACAAAGCAATATGAACTAAGAAACTGATAATATGAAAATTGGGGGATATTTAGCATGAGGTTTACTCCTTGTAACGAGACCCACAATCAACAATGACAGTATATCTTTGATGTCAACAACCTTACACGTCTTCGCCAAAATTGTGATCTATCCTGTTCGGTTTAAATATTTCTTATATGGTTTGCATGTCTCTAAACTTGTCTAATTTTCTTAGCTTAAATATATGATCTGGTCTAGTCTAATCTGGTTAAAATAGAGAAAAGTAACATGTTCAAAAAATGAGTTAAAGAAAACATCACTCTTAACATAAAATTTTGAAAAAGGAGACCATGAGTTCAACAAAATGCTCTTCTAAGATCAAGACAGTAGTATAATGTGCTTTTTATTGAGATCTGTGAAACTATGATGGGTTCATATTCGCTGTCCTAATTTCCCTGTTCTGGCTTCCTGTGCCAACCAATAAAAACACTAAATCATTATAATTTGACAGCTCAACAGTCAACAGTGACTTGCATGCCAAACAATGTTGAGGCACATATAAGATCTCTCAATTTTCCTTTGCTTTAAGCATCAGTAAAGCATGTACCCAATTGGAGGGTGACCAAATTGGAGGTTTTACATATGACTAAGACAACAAAACAACCTACAATCCATCTATATATACTCTCACCAGAATAGACTGAAGCTTGCAACAAAGATAAAAGCAGACACTCCGCTAAAGAGGCACATATGCTTAATTATGCCTGATAGCTACGCACTTGACAATCTGGTTTTGCTTTAGTTGCTAGTTTTTGTTTCTCTCAATTGAATGTGTGAAGTGGGAGTTGTGCATTCTACTGAAAAAATCTAACATAGCTATAAGTATTGCTATGTTGTGGTTCACAATCACAAAATTAAACTTTTTGAAACTTATACCCACCTAATGGGGGACTGAAAACAGTTAGTGCTCTCACCCAATATATGGACAACAAATTAACTTTTTCCACACCATGCAATCCCAGCATCATCTGTACAGAAGAATCATCTGCTATTGTAAAAAAAAACATAAAGTGGCAAAGGTGAAAGATATACTCGCAAGTCGTAACCAAGCAAACACTTGGTTTAAACGTAAAAATAATATAGGGCTAATAGAAGATATGTTATTTCAGCTTTGAAAGTCTAACCATCTACAAATTCAATAACGATAGAAACGCCTAAGAATTGTATTTCACGCCTGGATAATTGAAACAAGAAAGACTTTATTTGAGAATATTTTTCCTAGGTTGGGAGTAATAGTAATGTGAGGATGCTGTGGAAAATGAAATACCTGGTGGGATACGGAATAATAGTGAGTTATCGGATATGAGGCAACTCGCCATAGCCGAAGGGTATCTTGTGATATCATGGGAGCGAGGTGTAGCAGTTGTTTATGGCCATTTTTCAACTCAGAGGCAGTTTGCCAACATTCTTTTTAGGGCTTATGGGCAACTTTTGATGTTTTTGCTTTCGCGGATTGAATTGCTTAATATGCAAAAAAAAAAAAAAAAGGTAAAATTGGAGTTATTTTTCTAGCTTTCTCGGCTGAAGTTACGATTAAGCCACAAAAATAAATAAAATTTGAACAAGTAAACTTGAATGTTTTATACTCTTAAATAAATGTAGGTAATATTATTTTTATCAGCAATGCCCACAAAAATAAATAAAATACTAGTGTCCTTATATGTCATTTTACAAGCGAACAACTATTTTTAAACATCTAATTTACCAAACATTTGCTGACAACAAGCTAACATATCAGCCAACAAAAACAGCTGACACAACCAGCTATAGCCAATCAGTTGTCACAACAAGCCAACAGCTAACAGCTAACCGTCGATTGCTAAACAAGACCTCTAAAATAGGCCTGACACTTGGAACGGTAAAATCAAGGAAAATATGTGTTAACCGAAGGGCATTATCTATTTATAAAGTAGGCTTGGGACCGGGTACGGTAAAATCGGGAAAATAGATGTGAACCGAACCGCATTATGTAGTTTTGCTCCTATAATTTTGAACTTCTATTTTTTCGATTTGAGTTCTATTGAATTTGACCGGTTCGATTCCGCTTCCAACAAATTATAACTCATAGGAACCCAAGTTCTTATACATTTGTATAATAGAGTAATATTTTATACAAGTAATATTTTTTGATGAACTTCTGTGAGTATTTTCTTCATTAAGTGAAAATTATGTCTACAAAATATCACCTTAAAATTCAATAGAAAGTCAATTAAATAAATTGCTCAAAACACTGCACCAATATATATATATATATATATAATGCAATGATTTTCAATAAATTATTTACCTAATTTCCCGATTGAATTTGAAATTTGGTGGACGTAATCTACACTTCATGTGTAACATGTTCACAACACACTTTTTCAGTTTCATCTTTTGTCACAGATAATATATATCATTATTCAACACTACACAGACAATGTGTACATACCACACAGACATAAAATGAGGCGGTTCTAATTCCCGCTGACTTCCCGATTATTCTCAACCATCAAATTTTCGGTGCATTGAAAAAGAAAAAGTATATGTGAAGGTGATGATGGAAGAAGAGTGTCAAGACGGAATATGAATAAACTGTAAAAAGAAAGAACAACAAAGAAGGAAAGCGGAAGATGATGATGATGATGATGATGATGATGATGATGATGATGATGATGAAATAGAAAGAAAGAAAGAAAGAAAGAAAGAAAGAAAGAAAGAAAGAAAGAAAGAAAGAAAGAAAGAAAGAAAGAAAGAAAGAAAGAAAGAAAGAAAGAAAGAAAGAAAGAAAGAAAGAAAGAAAGAAAGAAAGGGGAAATTAATAAAAAATACCCCAAACTTTGAAGGGGTGTGAGGTAAACACCCCAAATTTGCATATGTAATTTAAATACCATGAACTTTAAATAAAAATTTATTTTTGCACCATTGTCATGTATTAATTTTTTCAAAATTGTAAATTTATGAGGTTAATTGCATAATTTATAATAGAAAATTAAAAGTGTTGCAATTATATAGATTGAGGGTAACATTATCTATTTTCTAATGAAAGTTTAGAATGTTATTTGTGTCTTCATGAATTCTAAAATATTTTAAATTATGCAACTAACACCATAAATTTAGATTTTTGAAAGAAATAATACTTGACTATGGTGCTAAAATAACTTTTTATATAAAGTTTGTGGTATTTAAATTACATATGCAAGTTTAGGGTGTTCATCTCACACCCCTTCAAAGTTGGGGGTATTTTATTTATTTTTCCCAAGAAAGAAAGAAAGAATTGAAAGAAAGAAAGAAGGAAAGAAGGAAAGAAGGAAAGAAAGAAAGAAAGCAATGAAGAAAAGGTGATAGGAATATAGAAGAGGGGAGGGAGACGACGTCCATATGATAGAAGAGAAGAAGAGAGGAGGGAGTGACATGTAAAAAATTGTGGAAGGTTTATATATAGTGTACATCAAGTTGTACACCAAACATTTTTGTTTTTGTAATTGACGTGCATCTAACTCAATCAAAATATATTTGTATGTTGAGTTATGAACAAAGGGGTTATAACTACTATGATTATTCATCTAATATGTCTTAACTTATGTACCTATTTTATTTTCAAATGGTACGACACTTTTTTAGCAAAAGCTTTTAAATTTGTGGTTTTGGTTGTGGTGGTAGTAGTAGTCGTTGTAGTGGTAGTGGTAGTAGTAGTAATGGTAGCCGCAACGTCAGCGGCAGGAGCAGCAGCGACAATGGCAGCAACAGTAGGGGGAGTAGTGGTAGTGGTAGTAGTGATGGTGCTAGTGGTATTGGTGGTGGTAGTAGTAGTTAATAGTGGTAGTTGTAGTGGTAGTGATAGTGGTATTGGTGGTCATGGTGGTTGTGGTGAAGGTGGTGGTAGTAGTAGTCATTGTACTGGTAGCGGTAGTAGTAGTAATGGTAGCGGCAGCGACAGGAGCAACAATGACGGCAACAGCAACAGTAAGAGTAGTAGTGGTAGTGGTAGTAGTGATAGTGATACTGGTATTGGTGGTGGTAGTAGTTAGTAGTAGTGGTAGTGATAGCGGTAGCGACAACGGTAGTGGAAGCGGTGACGACATCAGCAACATCAGTAGCAACAACAATAACATTAGTAGTAGTGGTGGTAGCAATAGTTAAAACCTCTCTCCCGATTTGAGCATAAATTATTTGATGTATACACTCAAATACTCCCCATGTCCCCTGATTTTGTCATGTGTTACCTTTTTGTCTGTCCTACTAAGTTTGTCTCATGCTATATTTTGTAATATATCAGTGGTTACAATTAATTCTTGCTTTATTCACAACTAGTTTTCAAGCCCGTGCGATGCACGGGCAGTACATAATTTAGCTAATTGTAAATTTGATATTTTAACAATCATAAAGCCAAATATAAAAACAACTAGTTTACTATTATTATTATTATTATTGTGATTGATGTTTGACCCGAACTTGTCTAAAACTGAAATTGGTCCAATTAAAAACATCCTAAATGTATGAAGATTTCCTAATTTGGATTAGGAAGCTATTTCAAAAGTGAAGGAACATTTAAATTGTAGTTGTAAAAATAAAGGAGTTTTTCCTTAAATGTTACTAATAAAAAGTCATGGATAAATATATTACTCTTAGTAACTATTAGTGACTATAGTTATGTTTAAACTTTACATCATAGTAACTTGCATGTAGTTACTAAGATGTAAATTTGAACATTAATATAGTTACTGATACTTACGAAGTAATATTCTTGTCCATCATATTTTAAAGAGTAATATTAATGGGATTTTTGCAATAAAGAAACAACTAAACATATTTACTTTTTTAGTTGGGCTAAACGTATTTCATTGTGAAAATATATTTAAACATATACTCCGTATATTTATATGTATGATATGAATTTCCATCCTAAAAAAGGTAAGCTACTTGATCATATATATACTCCGTACTTGATCAATAAAGTTTTAAATGTTTTCATATATGACCAACTAATAGTATATATCGATTTCATTTTTAAGTTAAAGTATTGACTGAAGTTACTGTAGATGACTATTTTAGCTATTTTTTCATTAATATTTTTTTGATTTTATTTAAAAAATATATTTTAAATATAATTTTTTCATAAATCAACAGAATCAGCCAATACAGCCACTTCAGCCAGAACTTCATAAAATAATTGATATGAAATATAGTCTATGTGTACAAATGGCTATTTATTGTTGTGGTTCCAATTGCTTAATTTAATAACTATCCAAATCAATACGGAGTAAGTAATATACTAATAGGTCATGAAAAACTTACCAAGTAAGGTGGATTCTATCCTACAATCTTTTCTTTCCGTATCAATATGGAATAAAAAAATAGAATGTAATAAAAAATAAAAGGTATAAAAAGTAATTAAGTAATTGTAATATATGATGACATGGCAGAATTATGTGACACGCCGTATGTTCTTAAATATTTCCTCTTATATATATACTAGTATTTGTACCCGCGCCATGCACGGGATAAAGGCTATGTTTGGATATCAGCGGGTTGAGTAAAAACGCTATGTTTTTTTACATCGTAAACGCTGATAATATCAGCGTGTTGGGCTTGAAATGCCGGTTAACATACAACCCCAAAATGATTTTGGTTTTTAGTTATACTAACGAAAAAATCACTTGTTTAGTCGATTATAACATTGATTTGTAATGCATATTCTCTTGTAGGTATATGTCTCATGAACCAATGGTAATTGGATGTTTGTATAAAATACTGTTAAATGACATTTTGTTTGTAGTATCTTATTTTTCTACCGGTAATTATTCAATCTATATTTTTCAATGAAAAGAGATTTTTTTATGACTCTCAGTTATATGCAAATGAAATCAATCTTTTCAACTATCTTTACCTAAACAAAAAGGAATGCTCAATACCTACTTTTATCCATTAAATTTCATCTGTGGCTTACTATTCTGTTAAAAACTAATTACACATTTTTGTATTTTATTTATTTCAAAATGGGTGTAGTCATTAGTCATTTTAAATATATTTTTCCTTCTTTGTTTTAGAATTTTGCAAATTAGTCCTTCAATCTCTTTTTTAAATAAAAGGGTTTAAAATATATAGTGACATTCTGATTTTAATGAAGGTGATGGCGGCGACAATAGGTTGCCTATTGTGATTGGTAGCAATCGATTTATTTTTAATTTCATTAGGTTGAGCCTTTCAGTTATTGAGAGTAATATGGTTTTATTAAGTAAAATAAGTGTTATTCAACGAACGGTTGCATGTTTTAGACTTCTAATAGACAATTTTGCATGGTTTTATCGTCTCAGTGAATACTTGCTCAAAGAAGGATATAAAAATGATCCAATTAGTCCATGTGTTTTCATTCGACGATCAAATTCGCGATTCGCCATAATTGCAGTATATGCTGATGACTTAAACATTATTGGAACTCCCGATGAAATTGAAAATACTGCAAAATATCTTATCAAAGAATTTGAAATGAAAGATCTCGGGAGAACCAAATTTTGTCTCGGACTTCAAATTGAGCATTTGAAGAATGAAATTTTTATACATCAATCCAATTACACCGAGAAAGTCCTGAAGAGATTCTATATGGACAAAGCTCATCCATTGACTTCACCAATGGTGGTTCGATCTCTCAACATACACGATGATCCATTCCGTCCACCAGAAGACGACGAAGATATACTCGGTCCCGAAGTACCATATCTGAGTACTATCGGAGCTTTAATGTATTTAGCTAATAATACTAGACCAGATATTGCATTTTCTGTAAATTTATTAGCTAGGTACAGCTCATGTCCAACAAGACGTCATTGGATCGGGATCAAGCACATATTCCGTTATCTCCGTGGTACAATTGATCTCGGCCTATTCTACCACAAAGATGCAAAAGCTTCTTTAATCGGATATGCAGGCGTTGGATACTTATCAGATCCTCAAAAGGCGAAATCACAAACCGGGTACGTATTTACTTATGGTAACACCGCAATCTCATGGAGATCTATGAAGCAGACTTTGATAGCTACATCATCAAATCATTCGGAGTTAATTGCACTTTATGAAACAAGGAGAGAATGGATGTGTCTGCGATCTATGATTCAACACATCCAAAATGAATGTGGTATGAAGCCTAGGGACAAATGCTTCACCATAGATGTAGACATTGTAATTGACAATATTATAATAAATTATATAAAATTGTGGAAAGAATGAGATAGAAATCTCAATGATTTGTTTTTATTTATCTTTCTCTCATACCACATGTGCATCATACACATTGTATCATTAATGGAGATGCTTTTTAAAGGCAATTATATGGGAGATGTTCTAAATGACATAAGGCACCGTCCAAGCCCTAAATCTTTGAAGTCTATGCGGGCTCAGCCGGGACTTTACCATGAAAAGACGTTTTGACTTTTTAGCCTTTATTTTAATTATACTAATGCTATTTTTATATATTTATATTTGATATTAACTAATATTATTCAAAAACATCATTCTTTTCTCGTTTTCAACCACAAAAAACAGTTGGCGAGTCCTAAATTTAACATATATGGAGTATGAATTTACTAATTACACAAAATCTAGACTGAAAAAAGTAATTTAATCATAAAATGTCAATATTAATAAAAAGAAATAAAACATATACTATGGGATATATGATTAAAATAAGGATAATGATCGAAATATCGAATAAAAATTTGACTTATTAATGGTTAATGACTACGATTACACATTCAAAATCTTCTAATAGATAGTAGCAAAATAGATTTCATAGTTTTTTACCGCCCCAAAACATCAACATAACGCACAAACACAAATCCAACACTATGAGTATGCAATATATTTACTAATTTACGAGTACAATGTAACATACAAAAACACTTGATCACACCAACTTGTAACCCGTCTGATCAGCATTTAATTGTTTATCCATGTACCGCTCCAAATCAATTCCAAAAGCTTCCCCTCAATAAAACCAATCCCCACTAAATTGAAGGTTATAATATTTATTTTTTATTTTCATCAATATAAAATATTCACATATGGAAAATTATAAATGAATAAATCCGTGATTTTGGATTTATGGTAAAAATTATGTGTAATCCCATAAACAACGTTTTTTTATATGCTTGCTCGAAAATACTTCATTAGCTAAGTCAAGTAGGATTTTAAATTTGAGTCTTTTAGGATGTTAGCTTAAGGCGGTTTGCATTTAATTTTAGTATTTAATAATTGTATATTTTGTATTGTAACAATACAAAAACACGGGGCCACAAGGAGGAGGTTTTCCATTTTGCTTTTAAACTATTTTATCTGCTATTCACTTAATGCATTCGTTCAATTGATTATTTCATGTTTCTATTTTTTTTATAAAATACGGGAAAATATAAGTTTTATTCCTTTTTTGTGAAGTACGGGGGCATGCAAAAGTTTTTATCATTTTTAAAGACCTTAATTTCCATTTTAAACGTACTTTATTATTTATTCAAAAAGGCGATGCATGTTTAAAACACAAGGGAAGGTTTTCCTTTTTCCTTTTAAACTATTTTCATCTCCAATGCATTTAATGCATTCATTTAATTGATCATTTCATGTTTCTATTTTTGTAAAATACGGGAAATATATGTTTTATTCCCTTTTTTGTGAAGTACAGGCCGGGAGCTACATCTTATATCCTTTTTAAACGGAACGGCCTTAATTTTCATTTTACACATATTTATATATAAAAAACGAAAATGTTTAAAACTAAACATAAAAAAGCTAACTAGGAAGGATATATTGATCACTTTATGAGATTTTATTTTATAATAATACATAATCTATATTCTAGAGACTTGGAATTGAAAACAGTAATTACAACGAATTTTAGTCCTTTTATTTTCAAAAATGGGAAAAAATGTTAACTTCATATAGATTTATTTATTAATAAGAAAATCATATTTTATTTATGATGTAAATATAAAAAATAATAAAAATATTTATAAATCAATACTAAAAACAGAAAAGCAAAATACAATAAACATAAAAAATATATTTAAGAGTTAAATAAAAGTAAAAAAGTATGTAGACCAAAAAGAAAAGATATAATTGAATGATTATTTTCTCCACGCATGACATTAATTGTAAAGTAATTCAATTCAGATCTTGAATTCCTTTATAATTATAAGTCATGCATGAAGAAAATAATCTCTCTAAACGATTTGTGAAGTACATTTATAAACGATTTGATACTATCAAATTTAATCGGTGTGGGATTTAGTATATAGATTCGCAT